TATTTTGTGTTCAACACACTAAACAAAATTTCTCAACAGGCTTCCGGGACTTACATGTACGAGCGTCTCCGCGAGGTTAGCCACCACCGACTTGTCCACCGTAACCTTGTCGCTGATGACCTTGCCGTTCGACGATTCCAACTCCTTCGCGTACATTGTGCCCCGTCAGGTCGCCGCTCGACCTCCCACAGGACCAGCATTCATGCACCACCACTACCGATGGACAACAGGTGAGGAGCGTACTCTTCCGCGCCTGTGCCATCCAGGATGATGTCCACGCCGGATGCTGCGTTCAAAGCGAAGTGGATCAGGTGCACCTTGGCGTTGTCGCCGTTACGGTTTCTCTCCGGGGTCCAGTACTTCTTGCTCGACGCACGTGAGTCCGACACGATGCCCAGGTTCGACGCCGCCAGGTCTGGTGCGGAGGTTGCTGTGCGTCTTGCAGACGGCCGTGCGGTTGGCGTAAGTAGTCGGAGTAGCCCAGTCGAGTACTTGCTGGCCATGATCTTGCCAGACGCGTCCACCACCTTTATGCGGTCGCCCTGGCCGATGTTGATGTAGCGGCCCTCGGACGTGAAGACGGCGCCAAAGTACGCAGGCCAGCTCTTGCCGTCGAACGCAATGCGGCCGTGGTACGCGTACCACCAGGTCATGTAGGGCGGGAGCGACGTGCTGGACGAGCCGAAGCCTATACCGAAGCGTGGCTAATTTCTGAGCATCAAGATGGAGCGTGCACTGCATCGGAAATCGCGGCGGTGCGCAGTCCACAGCTCACACGGAGCATCGCTCGTGGTTACGCGATCGTGACATCGGCGGACCACATCGCCCAGCCGACTGGAGTATGTTGGACAAGAGCTCGAAGAGATTAAGAGTAACGCGTCGAGACAACAAGAAATGGACAACTCAAGTACTAAGACGTAAAACAGTATAATATTATGTAAACCGACTCACTACAACCCTCCACGCTCGAGGCTATCGATACCCTTCCAATTCTCTGCAATGAAAACGAGATCTCGGACCATGGTAGTCTTAAGCGAGCTTCTCTTCACCGTTACGATGTTTCCACTTGTAGAAAAAGCACGTTTTGACGGAA